TAAAAACATACGTGGTACATGTCTTCTGGTGTCGCACCCAATGCCATGGAAATCTGTCACTTAGTTCAAAAATTAAGTTCAAAGAATATTAAGGAGGACACTCACACGGACAAGATACTGGATGAGTTCTGAGTCATGGCGATGTGTACCAAGTGTAGGCTGCTTGCTGTCTTCTGGAATTTTATGCTGTGGAATCTGGTTGAAGTTTTCCATCCTCAGGGTTGAAGAGTAAGCAAAGCTAGCAAGCAAGGGGCATGCAAAGTGCAAGTAGATTTCCGACAGGCTTCACAGCATAACATTCAGTAACACTAAATGCCTGTATAGGAAAATGGATAGCAAGTTCTTATTTCTGCCTCTCAATATTTCTGCTCTTCGAGTTTTTCACCTAAAATTTCAGTACATTCACGCGTGGAAAAACTTATACAGTGACTGTGTCTGTCCCTCTGAATCTGTATCGACGATTCCTTTTCTGTATGGTTCAGGTTCTTGAAACACAACCCCTGACCAATAATTGTTGCAACTGCAGTCATACACCGTTTAACGCTACCCTATAAAATTCTGATTCATTATAAGACTCTTTATTCTGGGACGAACTCTTGTAACAAAATTAAAAATTGGTATCATTTGAACAGCAAATAATGGAGACACTGCAACTGAGGATGTTGAAGTTGTGGAAAGAAATTTAGCCACATGTTTACTGATAGAATTCATGTATAAGATGATTGAAGTTATGGCTATCGTAACCGAAAATGGCCTAATTTGGAACTCAATACTAAAGTGCGGAGAGATGTGTAGGATATGATATCCTGCTATAGAGAAACTTTTTAGGAAAAACCGCTCCAGGCAAGACGATCAACTTTTGATGCCTTCATGAAAATGAAAGCTGAAAATTACTTGGAAAGTGGCCCTCAGCGGGGCTCATCTTCAAGTATATAAAGCCAATCCTTATATATCATACGTATTTTGTTAAGGAATTTTAAAAATTAATAATTTTAGCTATGCATGACCATTTTATTTATTGTATAACCTCAATAAATTACTATTTTAGGAACGCATTTCCTAAACTTCTTTTCTCCCTCTTTGCCCCAACTTTGGAGCATATGGCTGATTTCTCTGTTTCATTAATCATTTCTATAGACGGAAGTTCTCCTTGGACGGGTGGTCAGCTCGTCGCAATGCCTCTACCTAAACAGAGGACAACACAAACACAGAATAAACACACACCAAACATACATTCCTTGTGTGGGATTCGAACCCATGAAGCGAGCGAATACAGTACATGCCTTAGACCGCTCGGCTACCGTGACGGGATTTCCGAAACTACTATACTAAAATTAATCCACAGAACACGGATTCAGTTACATCTCTCGTTTCCAGGAAAGCATTCCCATCTTTTGCGGGTGTGACTGTACTTTCATATTTAACGGCATATCTTACTTGCCTTCCCTTTTAAAATATAATTCGGTTAAGAATCAGTGCAGTCGGGTAATAAATCCCTAAATACTATTAGTCTCCCGCATGAAGAATTTCCAATTTAGAACCGTGAAATGATTAGGGCCACTCCCCCACCCCCCCAACAAAATCTTTATAAACCGGAGAGACAAAAATCTCTTCATTTAAACAGGATGAACATGTGCGTAGTTTTGACTACTCGTAAAGAAACTCCTTCGAAGACCAGTGGTACAAAAATTGTGTTGTGCTAAATTATGGCAATAATGCTGTAAGTACGTGTATTATTCCTATGTGTAGCGTGCCGAAGTGTCGTATTAATTGGCAGCTATTCCACCTGCATGTCAGCACGTGCTAATGTGCCTGTAGAAATCTTGATGTGTGTCTTCTACTGGGGTCCATACATGGGCTGCAGTTTCAGGCATCGTCTACTTCATGAAATTGCCGCAGCAGCGCCAAATAAGAGTAGGCGTTCTTCATAAGCTGGAAAAGGACAAAACCAAACGCTGTAGATCTGGTGTTTGAGACACCTGCGTGGAATTTGGCATAAATATTTGTTTAAACACTCAAAATTTGAGGCACCTGCATTCACTCTGAGTCATGTACGTATATCTGTGTCTCCTACGTGCAGTTTGAGACATACGTACACTCATACTGTTTAAGACACCTACATAGAGTAATGTCAAGGTAAGGTAAAGTTGTCCCTGTGCTTAATCTATTTAAGAACTACGCCAAGAAGGCATTTGGCAGGGAGTTGAAGTATAGATCCAGTATTTTCTTGACCTCGGCAGTAGCTGGAGGTGAGTGGTCAGTTTCACGCCCTGCCGCTTTACTCCCGGGGAAAGAGCCCCTGGTACCCTTTGGATAGGAGGATAGGTGGACCCCAGAGCCGGCCTGGACGGCGTGGAGAAAATTCTTGACCCTACCGGGACTCCAACTCCGACGCCTCGGTCGTCCAACCTGTAGCCAGTCGCTATACCGACTGCGTTATCCCGGGCCATCCATACGGTAATGTAATTTCATTAAATGTATTTCCAGGTCATGATACCTCAGACAACTGCTGCGTGGCGTTGTGTGGGCAATAAATAGTGGTCCAGTAAACATAACGACACACAGTGGTTGACCCTTTCGTTGTTGTTTGTTGTTTTGTTGTAATTCTCTTTCAAGATTGGAAAGATCTGCCGCCACTTTAACTTATAGTGCTTGATCAGGCTCGAAAATTCAGGCAATCGAAGAAAATATTAATAATGTCACTGGTTTCAGTAGTTGTGCTGAAGAAATTGAAAGAAATGTGGCGAGAATTTGGCCGCGTCTTAAGCGACCTAGCCTGGTGCAAGCTGAAAACCTGTAAATACTCGTAACACATGAAATTTGGAATCCGTACCGTTGCATCATGCACTCGTAGTTCAATCCGGACACAAATATTCATCCTACAATAAAATCTGCTATATCCGGCATGCCAGGGACCGAAGTGTTGTCGGCTACCTTAATTCTCCGGAAATCAGAGCGTTATACCTATTGTGTATCTTACTGTGCCTCATGGACAGACCTAACAATTTAATTTTTTTTTCTCCTGTAACACTTTCTGTTGCCTTTTCATCACTAGTTACGTAATATGGCTTATACTTAGTATGGAAAAACCAATAAGTCATCAATATTTCACTGTTTTAATCATAATATTCATATCTTAGTCACTTTCCAGTTAATAGAGCTTTCCGAATCATCCAGAACCGGAAATCACAAAGTTACTCACACTCTAGCCAGCACGTCTTGCTCATATCACCAGCGAGCTGCATATGATTTGTAGATTTCACGGTGATGATTTAGGCAGTCTCTGAAACGCTGGATGCTAGCTCCACATTGACATGTCTGTTCGCCCGAGAAGGCTTCATTGTAACCTGCGTAAATTTACGTGGGTTACACCGACTCACCGAGCTGAAGGTGGGTAAGCATAAGTTCCCGAAAAGTCCCGCTCGTACAGCGACCGGGCGTTGAGCCCTCATGATGATCATACAGATGAACTTCGCCCCGTTGCAGTTATTCTGCCAGTCACAGTCGTAGGCGGCTTGGTGCACACGCTGACTCTGCGGGAAAGTTTGCCCGAAACTGATTGAAATTTCGGTAGTTTTTCTTATGTGAATTGGGTGGCAGGAGACAGGACTCAACCCTAATACGTAAAGTTATAAAGAATTGACACCGTTCCTGAACTAAATTATTGGTGATTATTAGTATGCATGATATGTCAAATATTTATGAAAGTTCTTATATTTGAATAATATGTAGAAAATGAAAAATAAGGGAACAATATGAGATAATTAAAAATTTTAAGGCCGGTTGTAATTTAGTTAGGAAAAGAGCTCGGACCATTTTTATGTGTATATTTCGTCTGTTTTGTTACATTCACACCCAGTGCAACATGCGATTAGAAGGTTATAACTCTAGCAGTGGGTACTTCGATCTTTTGAGGGGCCCTTGTGAAACCGGAGACGCACAACGGACCCACTATCAGTCTGAGTGCTTGGACCGACTTCCATGTTAGTCCTGCTATGCAGAATGAGATCCAGTAGTATGGAACTCCGACTCACCCTTCTCCTATGTCTTGTTTAATAACACGGCCGTGATGTGAAACAAAAGTTGGTACAGGATTTTGTACATTCTTGGACGGATGTTTTACAAACATACCTTCAGTATGATATTTATTAGAGAGTATTACAAAGGTACGAAAACGGTGTCTTTCGAATTTCAGTGTAGCGCTGAAGTTCAACTGATTCTATGAAATTATATGTAACGGGGATGATCAGCGAGTAACAGTATTCAACTTGGCTCTTCTGAACTAAGCAAGATATTGCTTTGTTATTAATCGTAATGTGACACTGCCTACTAGTGTCTGAGAAATGCGAATCGATAATAATTAATCGAACCCCACAGTGTTTGACTGCTTGTGGCATCACAGAAAGTATGTAATCGGATTTTTGGATTTGAATTCGTTTGAAATGGCCATATGTTGAACTTGAGAACGTAGTTCTTACTGTGGTTCTAGGTTATCTGGTTGTCAGGTTCATTCAACTCTGACAAGAGATTCCGCGATAATGCATCGCTCTCGAGTTTTCCAACAGATGTATGAAGTTTGACTTGCGGTTCCAACAGAACTGAGTATGGAGACCGTTGTTCATCCAGCCTGTTCACCAGATCTAACTCTCTCTTCCCAAAAGTTAACCATTTGAGCACACTGATAACTATATATTATGGGCCCTTTAAGTACATATACCTACATATTGTATATATATATATGGGTTTCACTTTATTCTCAGAATAGACATCGATTACTTCTCGATACACTATTGAATGTTTCATCTGTGCGATGGGGACACAGCGTGTTTCTCAGGAAAGTGTTGTGAACGGCAGTAACTAGGTTAGTCGCTGGCTTTCCACCGCGGCGGCCCGGGTTCGATCCCGGGTCTGGTCAAGTGGGATTTGTGGTGGACAAAGTGGCGCTGGGGCAAGTTTTCTCCGAGTACTTCGGTTTCCCCTGCTAATCTTCATTCCACCAATTGCTCCACAATCACCCTCACCTCTCATCTGGGGCTGGTACAGTAGGCCAGAAGTGGCCGCAGTGCAAGGTACATAGTCACACTCCCACTAGCAATAAAAAAAGTTGTATGAAGGAAGTTTTAAAAGTATATCAATTTATTCTCGACTATTTCACGTTGTTACCTTGTGCATAAGTTCAGAGCCGAACCAGCAAAAGAAACCGAGTTCAAGCACCGTGCATACGGAGTGCAGGAGGACCCTCGCGAACATCAGTCCCTGTGGTGGCATCTGCACAGGCAGGAGAAGGCATTGTCGTCAGAATTCCTAGTAACTTATCAGCATGTTTAGTAGGAAATAAAGCCGCAGTGAGCCACGACAGAGGAGGGACACAACCCTGCATTCGGCTGGAGCAGCATTNAGGAATATTCTTGGGGGTAAAAGGCGACCGGAGCGTGGGGCTGACAACCTTGCCGTCATCTATGAGCCAATTGTCTAAAAAATGTGGGAACCTCAAAATCTCACAATCCTGTGGGCCTCCACTGCCTGTTACAGGGATACCTTTACTTTTACTCCGTCCGTCCGTCCATCCATCTATCTATCTACTTCTGTTGCTCCCACTTGGAGCATAGGACATTCGTGAAACGCTTCGTTTCACTTCAGTTTCTTAATCTTTGACAGTTTGTAGGACTCCTTGGACGAGGGATCAGTCAGTCACAATGCCGCTATTTATACAAACACAAAATAAACGCAGACAAACATCAACGACTTGAGCAGGATTCAAACCCACGATCCCAGCGTTCAAGCGAGTGAAGACATTTCTTGCCTGAGACCGCTCGGCCACTGTGATCGTATATCCCTTATATAGCCCGTTATAATTCTCAGTGTAGTTACATTCGATACACGCGTGTAGGTAAATGAAACATCTGCTGTTTATTCGCGCTTTCTCAATTTCTGCAGTGTTAGTTGTGTAACCGTTCATTCTGACTGGAGGACTGTTATGTGAAAATTAAATTTTGTATTAAGTTAAGATTAACAATATTACAAACAAAGAGATCCGGCAGATAGCCAGCTCTTACACGCGGAAGGGACATAGTTCAAGTTTTGCTATGTGAACAGGAAGTAACATCTGGTACTTTCCTAGAATTCTGGCAGTTTCAGCAACGTCGGAAAGGCTTTGAGAAAATGAGAGCTGACAGCTTGGGACAGCGATAACTTAGAAGTGGGACGGCCGGAGCCTCACACCCTGACCGTAATACATCAAGGGGCTGTCATCCTTAGCGTCAGGTCAGCATCTGCCAGAATCACATAGCAGAGCAACATGATTGGGAATTCAAAATTTAGGGAACCTCCTAGTTTGAAAAATTAACCAATGGCAGAAGTGGAGGAGTGGATTTCTCTTGGAGTCTGGGGTTCGTGGACCTCAGAATTCAGAGAGAGGGCATTCCACCTCGGAGAGTCTTGACACTACTTTCGGCAAAATCGGACACTAAATTTACCACTACGGCCCTTCCGTAAAATAGTATAAGTACAGTTCAATTCAATAGTATTAATAAATTCAGTTGTATGCAGAAAGCTGGAAGGGATTAAAGGACTACTAAGTGCAACCGTCGAAAGGTGGGTGATTGTAGTGAAGTGTTCTTCCTGCCCTGTCCGAGCCAGACCCTTATAAGACCCTGGGATAGGAACCCAGCTCTACTGATTAAAGTAAAGAACCCAAAGGAGTGAGCGGTGGTGGAGTGGCGCACAACGAAAAGGGCACAAAGGAAGTGAGCGGTTACAGTTGGGAGTTCCGTGTCAGTGTGGAGCATCAACAACAACACCTCTGGAATGGGACATGTAGACATTACGATAACGCTTGAGACTCATGCAGGATATCGGTTCGAACTTCTGACGGGACACTGGCTATCCTGACTGACGACTTTCCTGGTTTTGCTCAATGTCTCCGGCAATTGCCAGGATAGTATCTCCATTAGGCCATGATCACTTTCTTCCAAATCCCTCCCAGGTCACCATCCATCCATCCTACTAATATTCAACTATATGTAATCTAGCTGCTGACACAGTAGTAAAATTAACAACAGAAGGAAATATTTTGTTTGTATGTTGTTGATTTGGACAGTAAAAATTAATAGTATTTATTATTATTGTCATCATCGTCGTCATGAGTATCATGAACATCATTACTATCGCTAAAACTTACCACTAAGACTTGAAATCCCAGCAAACAAATTAAAATTGACGCTGTCAAAAACACAACAAAAAACATACTGCTGAAGGATTTGTTCATGTCTGCAACGTACCTGTGGAAGAATTGGAATGTTAGTCGGATTTATAACATGTAAACGCTCCTAGTTCGAAAAAATTACATATTTCTGGCTTTATAGTGTAGCAACACTGGCGTAAAGAAATTTGAAACGAGAAGAAGTGATAGAACGAGATTAATTACAATAGACAGAGAAGAGGAGGTAATTCAAATAGTAAAATAGTAGTAATTAACTATAAACATTCTTTTCTTCGAAACAGCTGCCTCTTACACTTAGAACTCCTCTCTGTAAAAGTTATTTCCTCACTGTGGTGTAGGTCCGTGAACTGATAGACCTCCCGTTCCCTTCAGAAAAAAAAAGTTATAATTGTCTCATATGTTTTAAGGGTATAATTTCAATTACACCACAGGACATTGCTTACAAATTCAATAGTCTCAGCACTGTTCTATGGTATAGCCTGTAATTTCTGTTTTTTATATCTGTATTTATTTTCTCTCAACCAACGTCCTATCCAACGGGTACTGGGGTCTCCTTCCCGAGAGTAAAGCTGTCGGATCATGGAGCTGACCACTCACCTCCAACTAGTGCCGAGGCCAAGAAAATGTGCATCTATAAATCCACTCTCCCATGCGCCTTCATGGCGTAGTGCTTAATGAGTGAGGCACAGGGACAGCTTTACAAATAGACGTATATTGAAATGTGCGAAATGTTCGTTTCCATGTTTTCATCTTTTGCAGTTGTCTTCGAATATAATTTGTAAATAAATCTATTAACCGTTTTAAATGCATTATTCGTAACTGAGAGTTTGGTACTTCACTTGTTCCACAGCCTAGAGGCCACTATTCCGATGAGGTTTTGTGGTTGTCTTCAGTCCCACCGGAAATATTTGGAGTAGCAACTTTGAATGGACATGATCTCTGTCTACCCATATAAGCAAACTGCCAACCGACGCAATATAACCTACGTATATAGAAAGGGTCCTTAAAGACACCAAACAAGTTTACCTATTAAAGGGGTCTCGGATACCGTAGGCTTATTTATAGACCTATTTGTGTCCCTTCATCTTATGAAGTTGTGAGTATAAATCAGCAATCGATTCGCTAGTGTTCTCCTGAACTTCTCTGAAAGAAAAGTCATGGAATCATGAAATCCTCTGTAGCTTTTCAGGACTTCATATCCTCACAGCGGTGATTATCTTCCACAACTTGTCATCATGTAGTCTGATAGAAGTTCACTGATATTTCGGAGGAACGTACTGACTCTGTCTAGAGAACTAAGGAGACAGCCCGGGTAAATGAAAAGAATCGCTCTGCTTGTTGCTTGTTTAATGTTGGTCACTTGTTTGGCTAAATCATCGACCCTGAGAATGGAGGCAATACATTCCCTCAACATCTTCGAACTTCCCGAAAAATAGTATTTTTAATTTATAACTTGTTTTCGTCGTTAACAGAGAACGGCTGAACCAGATTATTAATTTTTTTATTATTAGCATTTCTTTTGGAATTAGGAACGACTAAGAGTTACTGCAACTTCATACATTTTGTTTGAAATGTTTTACGGCTGTGTATACGTTTACGGTTATGTTTACAAGTAAAGGTATCCCTGTAACAGGACTCGAAGGCCCATAGGGTTGTGAGATGTCGAGGCTCCCACATTTTGCCTAGACAGTCGGTTCACAGATGGCGGTAAAACTGTCAGCATTACGCGCCTGCCGCCCTTTATCCCCCAGGAATATTCCTGGTACTCGTTTCTGTTAGAGGCTGAGTTGACCCCAGGGCCATAGTGCGGCTGGAAGGATTAGGTAAATTGAAAGAATCCACCTCATCGGGATTCGAAACAGCTACATTCCTTCTTGAAGCATAGTGCCTCAACCAACTGCGCTACCCGGTTCCCCTTACGTTTATAAGTATCTGAACGAAGTACGTAACTAATTTTTAAAATGGTGGACTTAAATATTGAAGCAATCATTTCCTTAATTAAATTCAGCCTACACGATTGATATCTCAGTATCTGTAAGTATACACAGGACTCCAGGTCTCAGTTACCAGTCGTCTGGTGTGAATAATTACCTGCAACATGAGAAAACTATGCGTTCACTTCCCACAGAAACTGTACAGTTATATGGCATACTTACATGAGAAGAGACTGGTGATATTTGATACATTCTTTAACATACGTCAAATTTTCTCTTTCAACTTGCGCAAAGGACTTCATAGTAGATGACGTGTGACTTCCTTCACCACACCCAAATCGTAAAGTACTCCCATATGTTCTGTTTAAACAGTCCCTGTTATTAACATTCTTTCGAATTCTGTTTTCTCCTTTCTCTTGTATCACAAACAACGCCGGATTCTTCAAGATTTGTTCAGGGTAATTGCCTTCTATTCTCTTTTTATATATTTCAGGGCCAGATTTCATAAGCGCGTTCTTGTTTATGTTCTTCAACGAAATGCTGAGGAGGTCGAACTGATAGCCCACACAGATCATGAGAGTGACGCAGAAACTATCAATGCAACCCATACACCAAGCTTCCAAAGCGGTGAGCGTGGCCTGGGCTGCGTATTCAATTTCATATTGAGGACTCTTCGTGGAGTCCCAATTTGGATAATAGGATTTAAAGGGTAGACTCCTGTGAGGTCCTGCGGTATAATTTAGAGTGTCCTTCTCACCCAGCTCCACTCTCGTGGGAGTCAGAGGATGCAATATCATTGACAGGCCTGTAATGCAGTAGAGAATAATGTAACTTGTTGTTATCTTCCTCGCATACCCAGTTGCTTGCCGAATTATGCTCGACTCCTCAGCAGTGAGGTTTCTGTCGTGAATGTAGAAGTTCTCGTACAAGGTCCTGATGAGGTTCTGGACTTCTTTCCTGTATAAAATGAACGTCATCAGTTTCATACCGCTTCTGAGTTGAGTCAGAAGAATGCTCATCACTTCAATCCCGTCCTGCAAAGGATAATCTTCGCAGATTATGAAAAGGGGCGCCGCTATGCTCACAGAATAAAACAAAGTTACGGTGAAAGTTGTGTAACCTTTATACAAAATGTTTATCCATGTTAATGAGCTGACCTCATCGAATGGAAAGATCGAACCCAGCTTCAGAAGTGCAAGGTTCAGATACAAACATTCCTTTGGCTCCACTTTGTTCTCAGGTACCTTCATCGCCAGAGATGGACCTTCTTTGCAACGTCTGTTTTGAAAGTACAACTAACGAATGACTCATTTTCTTGGGTAGTTACTCAATAATGTTTTATGCGTTAATGTTGTTATGTGAAGGAAATTAATATCGATCTAGCTAATTTGTTAATTTGTTTATCCTAATGGTGTGCTCTGAGCTGTGAGTTGTGAAAGAACACAGATATACAAGTACACATTACAGCATATGTCTAATGTGCAGTTTATAGATGGAAAGTTTTCAAATTAAACTCTTCTTAAGCAATCAGATATTTAATAATTCTGTTCTTGAAACTTGTAAAAGTCAAGTTTATAGAATCTTGCTGTCTCATACGCGTTTGAAACTTCTCTTCTTCAGAAGCAGCTCAGGGATGACTCATGCCATGTTTAAAAATTGATGGGCCTTTTGCAAGGTTACGAACAACGAGAAAGCTGTATGATTTGAAGTTCTCACAGAGGCCGTTATGAAGATTTATATTTTATGGGATACAACGCCGTGTAGTCCGTTGAAATTCAGTGGATGTTTCGGATAAATATATCAGTATTCAGGGTTAAAAATTAGGACAAGCAAGGAACGAATATGAAACAGGAAGCAAGTTTGCTGCCTTATTCATGCTTGTTTCTTATTGGAACTTCTCAACGTTCAAGATGGAGGCTACATCTTCCTCCGAAACGTCAGTTGCCTTTCAACGGGCTACACGATATTATATCCCAGAAGATAGGACTCTGCAATGAGAAACTTTTTAGAGTAACCTAATGGAGGACAGTTATTGAGAAGCTAGCAGTCGCTAAGTTATTCGTGATTTGTACGTTTCTATGGAACCAGAATGTTCATTACCTTGTTCAAAAGAACCCAGAGGTTCCTATCTTTGGACAATAGACCAACTAGCACTATCGCCGTTGCTTAGCCAATATTCGAGACCCAGTGTAACATGTCGTAACATGCCATCAGCAGATAAGTTGAAGGAACGTCCTTTGGCGGTTGCTCTCGACTGCGTATCTAGTACGCTAATACCTAGCCTTCACAGCCCGAAGCCGTGTCCTCTGTCAGCAACCTGAGAATATGTCATTCCTTGTTAACAAAGTATTCACTTAATGTCGAGGAATTTATTGTGCTCTATGTAATTAAATGCCTTTCATTCCAACTCATTAGAATAAGTTGTTTGAAAGGTTAATTGCCAGATTCACAGTTGCACTTTGTATGAAACTGTTCACATAGACCATCGTGTACTTTCCTGAAATAATTTTCTACTTAAAACCGCTTGCCCATAATTGTGATGATTATATTCTTGTTGTGCAACTCGGAAACTGGACCCGTTTCAATGATCAGATGTAAAGGCCGCATAAAAATCTAGTTTCTTTCACTTACCCCCCATACACTTTATGATGGAGAAGAGTCCAAGCGCCCACTTTCGAAATCATTTTGTTTATCAAATATACTTCCTTACTTACTCATGGAACTGAGCTCTTCTGGAGGAGCCGCCAATTCTGCAGCTACTCAAGAATTTCCCAGCATTTTATGGAACCCGAAGGTTCATTACCGTGTTCACACGAGCCTTCCACTGGTCCCTATCCTGAGCCAGATCTATCCAGTCCATACCATCCCATCCTATCTCTCTAAGATCCATTCTAATACTGTCCACCCACCTACGCCTTGGTCTTCCCTGTGGTCGCTTTCCTTCTGGCTTTCCTACCAATATCCTATGCGCATTCCTCGTCTCCCCCTTTCGTGCTATCAAATACACTGCAGAAATAAATTTAATTTTAATAGCTATTAATAGAGCTAATTCTCTTTCCACTGTGAATATTTACCTTTTGTACAGGAATATAGGAGAACAGTGTTACTGCTGGCGTTTTGCAAGATTCTACAAACCAGTGTTTGATAAAACTGTTTGAAGGATTACAATCATATGGTTTTCGTTTGCAAATATTACAAAACGAGTTAGCTCAGTTAAGAAGCCTATGTTTTATTCTGAAGGCTACTAGAGTTAATCCCGACTGCAACTGTGCTGATTGGTACCTCATATACTTCATCTGATCCCGTCCCTAATGGGCTGCTCTTTTAACAGATTCAGCGTATTCGCCATAGAAATAATCTCAACACCATCGCGTATTTGCGAATTAATACAGTTCTGATTATGCTTGCTGGCTAGGCTTTTACCAATACAATAATCTCTGATTAAAGCGCGCCCTATGGGGGACGCGAAAATACGAGATATGTAAATTATCCATACTATAGTACATCTGTTCTACGAACTGGGGTACGTCGTACCCTGTGTACGCAACCATACGGAAGGAAAGTCCTGGATGTTCAACGTGTTTTCTGGTATAGCCACTTTCATTCCCGTAGTTTGTTTAAAACTATATCTAATAACTTTCTAACGGTCTGCCTCACTAAGTGACGATGGTGCACCACGGTTCCCATAGTAAATGGAGTATACAACAAATGTTAAAAAATTTTAAACTTCAATAACATATTCACCGTATACAAATGACTATCCTTATACGTGACTTGTCATGTTGGTAGCTCATATGGTTTTCTAGGCAGAAGTCATATAGTGCACAAATTTCTACCGATAAAGTTGTTTCAGGCAGTAAATATTCGGAAGTGTCATTGAGCAGTGCCTGGTTTAAGTCTCTACTGGGACGCCGACTATTCTGACTGAGGGTTTTCGTGGGTTTCCTAAGTTTTTCTAAGCAAATGTCGGGATACTAATTTAAATTATACCGCGAAAGCTTCCTTCTGCATTCCTTTCAATTAATTATTCATTATAACAGAATTACTTTGCGCTGTATAAGCTGGGTTGCAGGCAACCAAACATCCACAGGTTTGCTCTCGAATCATTTGTGTCTTAATGTTACATTTAGCAATTAAATGCTATAATCCAACGATAATATGAGATTTACGAATATTTCATAGGTAACCCTGTTGAAATCGACAAAGGATGATTTTAGGACCAAATCCAAATTTTTAATTGCTAGTGGGGTGGGACTAAGTCCCTTGTACTGCGGCCACTTCTGGCCTATTGTACCAGCCCCAGATGATAGGTGAGGGTGATTGTGGAACAATGGGTGGAATGAAGATTGGCAGGGGAAACCGAAGTACTCGGAGAAAACCTGCCCAAGCGCCACTATGTCCACCACAAATCCCACTTGATTAGAACCGGGATCGAACCCGAGACGCCGCGGTGGGAAGCCAGCGATTAACCGCTTGAGCTATGGCGTTTCAACTCCAATAGGAATCTAAACGTTTTATTGTCTGGAATTACACTCGCTTTGCTCGCTTTCTGCAGTGGACGGACAACAAATGAAGTCATAAGACTGACTACTTTTCTAAGATTGTTTAGAAAGTGATTTAATCTACCAATGGAGTGTAGTACAGCAAGTGTCAGGCAGCTTCTTATGGCGCTATAGAAGACAATGGAAAAGTATGATATCCGTGTTAATTGTTCCTATCCCAAACCGCAACAGAGCTCTGTGATAATGTGCACTGTACATCTCTTCCATATATGATACCACTATTACCGATAATTAAAGAAATACTTTACCTATCCTGACTAATTTATCGTAAATTTTGCAGTAAGTTCAGAAGAATCTTGAGACAGTAAATCCGAATGGTGCGTACATTTAGCCCTGTTTCTTGATTTATAATCATTGTACTTCCTTTCGTTTGACGATACGCAACTGATATGCTTGATACGTCTTTAAAGTAACCTCATAAACCACTTTTGTAACTGCCTTATTTCCCCCCCCCCCTTTGGCGCTACAGCCCCAGTGGGCCTAGGCCTACCTCCATGAACTCCGTTCACTTCGGTTTTTCTAGATCTTACACATACGGTAGGACTCCTTGGGCGGGTGTTCAGCTCGTCGCAAGGCCTCTACCTGTAGACAAACACAGAAAAACGCACACAAACATCCATGCCCTGAGTAGGATTCGAACCCACGATCCCGGCTTCCGAGCGAGCGAAGACAGTGCATGCCTTAGACTGCTCGGCTACCGTGACCGGCTGTAACTGCCTTATAGTTTATGCTAATTGTGATGACTGCTCTTTTATGTTAGGGCAAATTTAACTTGTGTAATCACGTAGCTTATTAGTAATTCAGATAATGTGTCTAAGTAGATCCGGATAGCTCACTCAGCAAAGGTGCGTAGACCGCGGGATATGTTTTTCAATTCCAAACCTGGGAAAGAAATGTTTATATTTCCAGCTCTGGGACCCAAGCAGCCTCCTACTCACTCGGTAACAAGAGGCTCTTTCCCACTGGGTAAAAGGCCAGGGTATGAGTCTGATCACATATTTCAATCTAGTGTCCAGGTTAAATATGCGTGGAACTATGCCTTAAGTTCGCCATACGTTTTCATAGCTTGGTGTTTAGTTAAGCACAGGGTAAATTTTATCTTAGTTACCTTATTTTAGGGGCCGCGCCATAGCTCAAGCGGTTAGTCGCTGGCTTCCCACCGCGGCGGCCTGGGTTCTCCGAGTACTTCGGTTTCCCCTGCCAATCTTCATTCCACCAGCTGCTCCACAATCACCCTCACCTATCATCTGGAGCTGGTACAATAGGCCAGAAGTGGCCGCAGTACAAAGGACTTAGTCCCATGCCACTAGCATTACAAAAAAATAGCTTGTCTTAGATAGGCTTAAGAAAATTGTATTTACTGGAAAATGTATAATCTTGGAACTCTCATAAGAGACAGCCCAACTGCAATGAATGGCGACCCTGCCTTATGCGAGCTCCAGGTTCCACTGACCCGGTGAGTAGCGACTGGTAAGGGCCCCTTCCCAGGGTTATGCGGCTGTTAGACGTGACTCGTTAGACACGGTAAGTAACCTGTATAAGGGAAGGAAACTCCGAATAAAAACCCTGGTCGTCGGAGACAGGGAATTTTGCCGCAGACTGGTAATCTTCTCGAGTAAAAATAACTTACTCATAATGCTTCATGTTTCAGGACGGAAAGGGCTAACAAGCTCAACAATATAAGATGATGATAATGATACTGATGAATGGATTGGTGTTAATTCTACTCCGTCAGTTATGAGGACACCTCATATCACAAAAGTGCGATGTGGACAATATACAACATTGTTTGCAAACCACCTACAGAATGAATCATATTCACTCAAACGTTGTGCTGAATTCTCGTATCTCCCATGCTCAGTTTACTGTAAATAAACTCTTCGATCTCCAGTTGGTAAGGCCCCTAACTCTGTGGTCCTTGCAATTTCTTCCGTTGACAAAAACAAAATTAGAAAGGTAAAATGGACGGGACCGATGATTCGCTATTACGTTGTAAATTTTGGCAACACTTTTATGTAGACGACGTTTTACGATAATGAGTAAATGAAAGAGTGGTAATTCGAGTGAAACCATGACGCAAGTTGAGTTTATTTACGTATTTATAATTTATTCAACAGCGGCTGAGACTGTATAATGTGGAACGGCTGCATGACGATGGATAACAAATTCGAAATGATGTGAGAGAGAGAGAGATCGACCATGGCCTAACAAAAATACGAATACTTATCTCGGAATTTGCTCGAGGGTCAGGTGACACGCGAAAACCCCTAAGTCAGGATATCTGCTGTCTCACTCGAAATTCTAACTGGACATTTCCGAAATATAAGCCAGAATCGTTAGCGCTTGAGCCAAATTGCTTGGGCCAACATTTGAGAAATTTCTAGTGTTCAGAAAGTGAAGCCACAAGACAGATGGTAGGAAAGGACAGATCTTCTGTGCTGAACGACTCCAGTCTTGAAACTAAGTGCCGCTGTATTTCCGTGGACAGGAACAGCTGTCGCTTTGAATGGTAGCCATTCCATCCGAAATTCATAATGTGCTGTAGTGTGTGAAGACTCTTCTCCTTGTGCCACTTGCTACTACCAGCGTGCAGTTTCAGGCATCGTCTTCTTCATAGAGTTTGCGCAGAAGCGCCATGTAAGAGTAAGCATTCGTCATTAGCTGGAAGAGAAAAAAAAAGATGCTGTAGAAACGGTGAAGTAAGATAACACAGTGTGTCGAAAGTACGGCACAAACTACATTGAAGAACACGTGTTTCATTAACAAGAGTGGAAAAATTCGCTTCACATAGAAATACACACTTTAGCCTACTTTTCTTTCTAGGAATAAAATAGTGTCTGTGTATGTGCCTTTGTGTTTATGTCCTATTTAAACTTCCAAACCTATCTGTCGATTTTAACGAAACTTGGTATGAACGTTATATTATTAGATGTTATCCCAATAAGAGCATGGCGAATCCATGAATTTGTGAACTGCGAGTGGCAATTGCGTGTTTAAAATATTGTGACGTGTTGCGCTATGGATGACGCCCCTCCCTTCCCGCCAGCCGTGACGTGCCGAGCGGAGCCGAAGTGAGCCGAGTCCCAGCACGCTGGTCACTATGCAAAGCGAGTAAACAGCGGTGACGTAACACGGGACGCCGCGGTTGCTATGCAGGGAGGGGCGCCATCCATAGCGCAACACGTCACAATATATTCCGAAGTGATGTGAGGCAGGAATGGTGGAGGTGGAGGCAGACAGTTCCTCCGAAACGTTGGTAGCCACCTACAGACTACAGCCCAAATAAACAGAACCTAAAACACAATGAAACATTCAACCTCAGTCATTGTTTAATAGTAACTGAGGTCGAATACTGAACCAATGGCTTCCCCTCATCTACCTGTCATAACAATCTTGCTTCCATGAAGTAGGTCAAAAGTGACATTTTATCCAGCAACAGAAAAGGCAAATAGATTAATGTTCGATTTCAATGTGCTATTGCGCACATGAATCTGCCATCGAACGATTTTCGTACTTCACAGAGTCAGAAATCATTTGTGTTATATTTCACAAATTTTTACATTTAAAAAGTGTTTCTCGTAAAACTTGTTGATTTGAATGTAATCTAGGTCTCTAGTTTATGGCGTGTTCTGTCATGTGATAGTGTTGCGAAATGATACATTAGTCGGGTCTTTGTTTTCTGTCAGCTTACCGAGCTGAAGGTGGGTAAGCATAAATCCCCGAAGAATCCCGCTCGCAATGCGACGGGGCTCTGAGCCTTCATGATGATCATGCAGATTAATTGCTTTGTCCCGTTGGAGAGGTCCTGCCACTGACAACCGTACGCTGCTTGGTATACATCCTCGCTCTGCGGGAAAAACAAAACACTGATCGTAAGTAAAGCCATTGCCTGTTAGAGTCACTCTCAGATTTTGTTTTATTTCTCAGCAGAAGCGTATTTAATTATTAGACCAAAACTTGTTACACATTTCCATCCTATAATATTTGTGGGACCTAAGGCCTATGCCAAAAGCAGGAAATACGACACACAGGATTAAAGTAACAACAACAAAAACACACAGAGTACTTCTTGCAAGCTGCCCAGCCACTGGGGTAATTTGCAACACAGAGCGGGATATGATGCAACCCTTAATGTTCTTCATCAACACAGCCAATGCACACAGAATGGATGCAGTAACTTGAACAAGCAAAATGTGATCGAATTTCTCCTTTCATACATCGCATCCAGTCTTCACAAGCTTTATATACCTATACGTCCCTTCCTTTATACGCCATAGTTTTCTGAAACATCTTCTCTTTCCTTATAATTGTTCTTTTATGTCTCATTTTGAGGAGTATCTTTACATTTTAAATAAATATTAAATATTCATTGTTGTAAGTGTGAAATGTGGGTACAGTAAGCACGTGCAGCAGGGTGGTTAAAATTGTAGGGTTTGAGGTTCTCACACCGGTGGTTAAGAATGGTTCTATTTTCTTCCATGTAACGCTATGCAGTCCACTGAAATTAAGCCAATGTTTCGGTAGAACATTTCGTCTTTATCTTTGTCCCCCAGCAAGAAACCATCATGAAGCAGACAGCAAGCAGAGCTGGTATCTTGCAGGGCTTACAATCCTATTCTGAAGATGGAGGTGATATGAGTCTTCGAAATATCGGTTAAATGTCAGCACTCCGTAAGGCGTTGTATCCTTGTATCCCGGTTGGTCAGAGCTGTCTTGAAAACCTGAGGACACACTGTTAAACCTGCAGGATTTATCACATGGGGTATCTTAACCAGCTGCAGGCATAATTATGAAAGGCCCAAGAATACTATGGGCTATGGAATGAGCTGGATGATTGAATGATTCAAGACTTCCTGTCAACCGGGTTAGCGCTGTCGGTATAACGGATGCCTGCGGACTGACGACCTAGGGATCGGATTTCAAGTGCCGATAATGTCAAGAATTTTCTTTTCTTCACTTCGTCCAAACCGGTTCTGGGGTCTACCCAACCACCTATTCAATGGGTATCGGGAGCTATTTTCCCAGGGGTAAGGCGGCCGGAGCCGGTCACTATAGCCGAGCGGTCTAAAACATGTACTGTCTTCGCTCGCTCGGAAGCCGGGATCGTGGGTTCGAATCCAATATAAGGCATAGATTTTTGGTATGTGTATGTGTTTATTCTGTGTTTAGGTAGAGGCCTTGCGACCGGCTGATCACTCGTCCAGGGATACCTACCGTCTGTAAAATGATCATGAAACTGAAAATCAGAAGCCAGTGAAAGGGGGCAGCCGGGACGTGAAACAGACCACTCACCTCCAGCTAATGCTGAGGTCAAGAAACGTGGATCTATACATCCACTCCCCCATACGCCTTCATATTGCTTAATTAGTTAAGAACATGATAACTTTATCTTTTACCCTGTCAGCTTCATAGGTCAGCCTCTGTGCAGTATCGAATGATAACTTGATCAGTGAAATAAGAGAGCGTCGACGGAAGCTGTTGTTACCCGCTTTAAATATTATATTTTATTATTATATTATATATGATTAAATATTCTGTAAGTTTCCTTGAATCGAGGAGATCCACTAAAAACTCATTCAAATAGACGGTCTCCGAACCGAAATTTGAAATCGGAACCACTTTTTTTTTGTTACCACGACGTTTTGTGGGGTTAATTAAACGTATAGAAATATGACAAAGGATAATCAAAAGATATTTTATAGACAGCTCGTCTGCATCTATATGCTCCTACGCAATCCGTCATGTGACCCAGTACCGTCGAGTTCCCGTACGAACTAACTGGAACATACAGGCAGCGCCATGGCTCAAGCGGTTAGTCACTGGCTTCCCACCGCTGCGGCACGGGTTCGATCCCGGGTCTAGTCAAGTGGGATTTGTGGTGGACAAAGTGGCGCTGGGGCAGGTTTTCTCCGAGTACTTCGGTTTCCCCTGCCCATCTTCATTCCACCAATTGCTCCACAATCACGCTCACCTATCATCTGGGGCTGGTACAATAGGCCAGAAGTGGCCGCAGTACAAGGGACGTACTCCCACCCCACTAGCAATAAAAAAACTGGACCATTCTCTGGTTCCGTAGGTGAGAGCCAATCCATAAATACGCAAGGGAAAGTATAAATTTAAAGAAACCTTTAGTCTCTCTCAAAAGTCTTGTTGGTAGCACTGAAAAAGATAGCTGATGTAATTAGCCTCGAAGAGTTCAGTCTTCTGGGTTGTAATGCCTTATAGCCCAGAGGAAGCCCAGTAATTCGGAGGAATATAACATCTCCATTTTCACTTTCGAAGAATGAGCCAAATAAGACACCAGTAGAAGCAGACTCAGCCTGCCGCTTGCTTCTGCTATTTTCTTGGTTGCTTTATTTGTTTCGGTCCTGAAGATGGAGGCTTTCTCTCTATGCGCCGAACGTGAACTTGATAGTTACAGCCATGAGCGTCTCAGACCCAACGCTATGACCAGTCCCTCAGCTGCATCTAGCTGGTTACTCTTGTCTTCTTTGTAATGATAGCACTTAGACCCCTTTAGCACGGCTTCAGAATTTCACCAAACGAGAGCAAATGATCAGTGATCTGGCATCTGATGTCAGAGAGTGTGAAAATTATAACATCTCCAGAAGAATAGCAGCTCAGTTGAACTAATTCCATGGAGCTAAGTATTTTTGAGAAGTCAGAAATTGCTCATCTACTCAAGAATTTTCCAGTATCTTGTAGAAACCGATTTCTTATTACTGTGTTCACGGAGCCAGATGAATCCAGTTCATGCCACCCCATTCTATTTTTCTAACATCCATCTCAATATCATCCTCCCCCTACGCTTAGGTCTTCCTGCTGGACTTTTTCCTTCTAGCTTTCCCACCAGAACCTTGTATGCATTCGTCTTCTCCCCTTATGTGCAGCATCTCCTTCCCATCTCAACCACCTTGACTTTAGCATTCTAATTATATTTGGCGTAGAATACAAATTATGAAGTTAATCATTTTGTAGTTGTCTCTAACCTCCCATCAAAGAACAAGTATTGATAATAAAGAGTTTTGGTGGCCGTTGACTTTAACAAGTGTTAAGGGTAAGGAAGAACTCGATCAGGGTATCCGGGACAATTTCAAATGATGAAATTTTATCTCAAATAAGTATATTTCATGGACAAATGACGTAACTGCCGACCGAAAATATTCTATTCTGGTGGAATCTGAAAACTCTTGAAATGTTGGGCAAAATTCATTACAAAATAAAATTATATATAATGGCCTTTAGTTCTTGCCTTGTCTTCATACGCTACAGGAACATAAATTTTAATAAGAACTCAATCTCGTGTCAATCACTTTAGTTTATTACCTTTTGCATAAGTTCGGAGCCGTACCAGCAAAAGAAGCACAGCTCAAGCACAGTGGCCGACAAGTGGAGGAGCACCCGCGCGAACAGCAGTCCTGGCGGTGGAACCTGGCCAGGCAAAGAAAATAATATGCAACATTTTAGGAGCATGTCATTATGTCTAACATGAAACAAAGCTGTAGCGAAATACCATAAAGCAGGAGCACTGTACAGACATTCGGATACAGTGGACCACATCCAAACTGCAGTCATCAATCCAGATCTTGCCGGCGGGATTATTTTTCGTCATATTCTGAGATAATAGTAGAGAAAAATAATAAAATCACTCTTGTTCCTAACTTTCAGGTTTTCTGGCATTCTCAGACTGTGATGAGAGGTGATTGATCAGCGGGAGTATATGTCCGTCCTTACGAACATGGAGAGACAGAGAAAATCAAGTTGCTGTCTCGTCACCAAAATACAGGGCAAAATCATGACATAAAGATAAGAAACAGATATTCTGAAAATGTGGCACAGTTCAGATATTTGGGAACGACGATAACAAATCAAAACCTGATTCAGGAGGAAATTAAGAGGAGATTGAACTCTGAGTAATGCTTGCTACCATTCAGTCCAGAACCTTTTGTCTCCTTGTCTGCTGTCCAAAAATATAAGAATTAGAATCTACAAAACTATAATTTTGACTGTGGTTCTGCATGGGTGTGAAACTTAGTCTCTGACATTAAGGGAGGAACATAGACCGAGGGTGTTTGAGAAGAGGGTGTTGAGAATATTTGGATCGAAGAGAGATGAAGTAACAGGAGGTTGGAGAAAACTACATAATGAGGAGCTTCATAACTTGTACTCTTCTCCGAGTATAATTAGAATGATCAAGTCAAGGGGGATGAGGTGGGCAGGGCATGTAGCACGAATGGGGAGAAGAGGAACGCATATAGGATATTGGTGGGAAAGCCAGATGGAAAGAGACCACTGGGAAGACCAAGGCGTAGGTGGGTGGGCAATATTAAAATGGATCTTAGAGAGATAGGATGGGATGGTATGCATTTGATTGATCAGACTCAGGATAGGGACCAGTGGAGGGCAGTTGTGAACACGGTAATGAACCTTCGGGTTCCATAAGATGCTGGGAATTTCTTGAGTAGCTGCACAAATAGCGGCTTCTTAAGAAGGGTTCAGCTCTATGAGTGAGCGAGTGAGTGACGAACATGGAGAGATCAGCCTGTATAGAGACTGGCTGCGGCCTGGGCGGCCGGGGTTCGACTCGATCAGGGGCAGGAAATCTTTCTCTATTCTGTAGCTTCTAGGTCGAATCTGGGGCCCAGCCGCCTTTCTATCAAATGGGTACCGGGGTCTTTTTCCTGGGGATAAAGCGGCCGGTGCGTGAATCTGACCATTTGCCTCCATCTAGTTCCCAGGTCAAGAACGGTAGAAATATACCTCCACTCACCCGTACAGCGTAACGAAGTGATGCTTAATTAATTAAGCACAGGGGCAACTTCTTTTCTCTTATCACAGAGAAAGAGAAAGTTTGACAAAATAAAATAGATGCAAAAAATAATAAATGTATGTATATAGCTTAGTAACTAATTATAATCAAGAATAATATTTTTCCATTTTTGTTATCACAATCATAATTACTGTCACATTGTTCAGAGTCTTACCACTATAACTTCAAATCCCAGCAAACAAACTAGCAGCGACGCCGTCAGAAACAGGACAAAGAACAGAGTGCTGAAGCATTTATTCATGTTCACAACATACCTGTAGAAAAATTGGCCTGAGATAGGAATTCAAAACACACTCTAATACTCTTTCAAAACCTTTCTGAGCAATAACCCATGTCATTGCAGAAGAGAAAAGAAAGTAAAAGAGAACAAAGGAAGATTGAGAGGGAGAGGAAAGAAAATGTAAAGATAAATAGGAAGAAACGTGAATGGTAAAATATAGGCAGAAATGTAGAAAAACTTAATAAAGAAAAAGAATAATTAAGAGAAACAAAAGTACCGAAAATGAAAGGTAAATAACAAAAGAAAGAAAGGAAGAACTGAGTATGAAAAGAAGGCGGTGAAGGATTGAGAAGGAAATTCAAATATATAAAAAAAATCAGTCGTTAATTATAAACTCACGTGTTCTGTGATTAGCGACAGCTGACTCTCCCTCCATCACTCTAACCTGGTTGTCCCTCCTGTTCCCCTTGTTCACTAATTACGCTGTGGAGACAGTACTTGACTTTTGAAGAAGCTAATAAACATTAGTAGCCAGTCAGTTAACTCGTATGCTCCAGAAATATTATGCCAAACACAGTTCTTTGAAAGACGATATTGTCTTCGATTTATGTTTGTCGTTAGCGAAAAAGGCGAGGAATTTGTGACGAGCTAAATTGTTTACATTTCTTCTGCTGCTAATCCTGCTCATTGCACATTGAATTCAGAAACACGCAAGATTAAAATTTCTGTGTTACAGTTTTTGCTCATGTAAAAAAATACTGCTAATGTATGTAAGATTTGCAGTTTTCACAGTGAAAAATGCGCTAAGAACCTTCGTGCAACCATTCTGCTCAATGTTAAGTTAAAAACCAACGTTTCAGAGATCTCTACCCCCTCCTAAGGTGTTGGCTTCTTGTAATTTTAAAATAAATTTTAAGGTCCCGTTAATGGAAATGTTGAACAAACGTGGCGCGATGCGTACTTTCATTAATTTGAATATTCAGACGCGGAAAATTAAACATAAAGTAGGCTGAATGCAATAATGCCATGGTTTGGAAGTCAACTGCAATATGAAGATTCTTATTTAGCTCCATACGGAAAGAAACTGTTTTTTTTTTCTATGTACTTACGTGAGAAGAGACTGGTGGTGCTTGATACATTTCTTGATATAAATAATTGTTTCTCTTTCAGTTTGCCCATAGGACTCAGTCATAGATAGAATTTGCTTTCCTTCATCAGATTTTAACGATACATTAATTCCTTGTAAATTATTCAAATCTAAGTTGTCCATGCACCAATTGTCACTAACATTTCTTTGGATGTTGTTTCCAGTGTGTTCTGGCATCACAGGCAACAACGAATTTTTGTCTAAAGTAGATACTCGTTTCGGATAACTGCCCTCTGCGCTCTTTCTGTATATTCCCGGCCCGGATTTCAGTAATGCGTTCTTCTTAATGTTATTCAGGGAAATGCTAAGAAGCTGGAACTGAGAAGCCACGTAGATCATGAGAGTGGCGCAAAATGGGTCAATCGAGCCCACACTCGAAGCTTCCAAAACAGTGAGGATAGCCTGGGCTGCGTATTCAATTTCAAACTGCGGTCTCTTCGTGGGGTCCCATTTCGGGTACCAGGTTTTAAATGGTAGTCTTGGAAGTGTGGCGGTGTGATTTGCATCAGCTGACTCGACCTGATCTGTTGAGTTGAAGGTGATGGGATGTAGTATCATTGACCAGATCAAAAGGAATATAAGGACGAAGTAACCTATTGTTATCCTCCTCGCGTGTTTAATTGCTTGCCGAATAATGCTCGACTCCTCAGCGGTGAGGTTTCTGCCGTGGATGTAGAAGTTCTCATACAAGGCATTGATGAGTTCTTGAATCTCTTTTTTGTATACGATAAAAGTCATCATTTTCATACCGCTTCTGAGTTGAGTTAGAAGAATGCTCATCATTTCGATGGCGTCCTCCAAAGTGTAATCTTCGAAGACATAGAAAAGGGGCCCCGGCAGACTCATCGAAAAGAAGAGAATTACTGTGAAGGCTGTGTAACATTTATGTAGAATATTTATCCATGCCGATGAGCTGACTTCATCAAGTGGGCAGACTGGCCACATCTTCAGTAGCCTGAGATTCAGATCCAAACATTCCATTGGTTCCATCCTGCTTCTGGATTCATTTATCGCCAGAGGTGACAAGCTTCGACTCTTGTGTTCCGAAAGAACAACTAATAAATCACTAGGCTCTCTAGATGAAATATCTCCTGCATTTTATGTGCACTAATGACGTCTGAAGATCGAGAACTGTCAGGTTAACTGAGCGGATGTCTTTACGCTGAACGAATATAAGAAATGTGCTGTGTTTCCATGTATAGATAAAACGTTTCTGCGGAACTTATAACATTTTTATGAGACCTGACTTTAAGAAACTAATTAAACTGCATGTTATCAATCAAATACCTAAAAGAGATAGACATTCTTGAAAATTCTTCGTATGAAATGTATAGGTCCTTGATATTTCATTTGTAAATACTTCGTAAGGATCAGAGGTGGCTCGTCCCTGCAGGATATTCGCAGATTTCGTCCAGAACTCAGTGTGTTAAGTATGATTTGAGATTTTCACGGAGCTGACTATGCAGAATGCTGTCTTCTAGGATGTGGCGCCAAGTAGATATTGTGTAAACCGACGTTTCAGAGGAACGTATCGTCTCCATCCTCAGGGTATAAAATTCCGCGAACGAGGAACCAGCGTGAGCAGGTGGTTTACACAATATCTACACGGCGCAGCATCCCAGAAGACGGCATTCTTCAATGTGTTAAGGCTCGAAAATCATAAAAGTAATGAAGCGGTATGAATTTTAATGTCATAATCATATAATCAGAAGAGAATCTTAATTTATACAGTTTATGTTGTGAAAATTAATCGTACGCCATCTTTGCCATAATGTATGCCTTCTTCAGCAACGTTTCAACTTTTGGTTTATACTTCTTGAATGCGTTAACTTTATTTGGTCCGTACGAGTGTCTTATTGGTTTAATTCGTTTTCAGAATTATAAGTGATGTAATTTCTTGAGCCGAATGGGTTGACGTAGCATAATACCTTTGACTCATATTTTGGAGGTGCCCGGTTCGAATCTTGGCAGGGCCAACGGCTTTAATGACTGAGATTCTTCGTGGTATATCTAAGTCCCTCCAGACAAGTTCAGATATAGTGCCTCAATTGGACCACAACGGATTCCTTCAAAATGGTTTCCAATTCTTCATTCGACTCTCATCTTGCCATTCGGTGCTATGTTTTCTAGCTATTTAGATCATGGTGAAATGTCCGAGAAAAGAAGTTTCGTTACGGTCGTGTTGATAGAACGATAAGTTGATAAGATATGAATACCATTTGGAGTCATGCTTATAATGTTTTACAGTCGCATTCAGATTGCCTTTATATTCTGCATTCAGAAAAACTTTAATGGTGAGGGCCCACCAAGGAAACTGGCAACTGCAACACAACCGAAATTTCCGAGAATTGTTATCAGCCTGAGTTGAACACACGTTACTGATTGGAGAGGCGCAAATTGAGGAATCGGCAACACCGTAACATATATTCAACTCAGCCTGATACGATTCTCGGAAATTGAGGTTGCGTTGCGGTTGCCAGTTTCCTTGGCGTGCCCTCGCCATAATAAAATCCGAATGGGGAATTTCCGTCTCAAAATATTGAAAATTATTTGTGGTGTTTGTTATACCGTTTAGTTAGTTAGTTAGTGAGTTATTGGAGAAGGTGGGTTTCCCCATGCACTTAGACCTGTCTTGGTACATTGTGCTTCCGTCTATGATATTCTACCAGTCTCTATATCCTACCGGTACTGGTGCTTACCATCAGTCCCGCCCAGCCAGCGAGACCGGNAAAATTCGACGACCTCCGCCGGGTATTTGAACCCGCGTACTACGAGTCATGAGGTGGGAACGTTACCTCTAGACTACGGAGGCCGCTTGTTGGTATACCGTTTAGTCGAAGCAGGGTTATTACGTTTAATTCTAGTTGCGTGAAGTGTAGCGAAGCCATTTTTAACGCAGTTACTTGATTCAGAATACACCAATAAATCGATTTTTGATTAATCGACGTGTAAAAGAATCCCACAGACTGAAGTTTCACTCTTATCATTCACAATCCGTCACTGTACCTGAACTATGGAGCAATATGCTTCTTCCTCGAAAGTAAAGACGCCATTACTGTGACTTGTCATAAAGTAAATTTGCTTCATAATAGGCCCTCAAGTACAAATATTTTGGTCCCAATTACTTTATGACAACAATTACGAAAAATTACTTTAAGTGCGGTGGAAATTTAATAAGAACTTTCTTTTTAAACATTTACACAGCAGCTGTCGTTGCTTGACATGCAAACTTCATTAGGCCTCATCTGTTTGCTTTGAACACGTTAATTACATATATATATATATTTTTTTATTGGCACTACAGCCCTCATTTGGGCCTAGGCCTACCTCCATGAAACTCTCCGTTTCACTTCGGTTTTACTAGATCTTAGACATATGGTAGGACTCCGTGGTCGGGTGATCAGCTCGTACACAAACACAGAAAAATGCACACAAACATCCATGCCCTGAGTGGGATTCGAACCCACGATTCCGGCTTCCGAGCGAGCGAAGATAGTGCATGCCTTAGACCGCTCGGCTGCCGTGACCGGCTAATTACATATATATCGGTGTATTTTAATACTTCTGATTTTGGTAGTCAGCAAAGTTTTACGCCGAAATATCTTTGTTATTTAAATTAAACATTTCGCTACCTATCTTAGGGCAACCAGACATGGCGACCAAGAACTGCATATGTTGATAAGACATGGGGTCTTAAGATTTGATATTTGTGGGTTAATAAACTCTGTGAGGTAAAGTTGTGACTGTGCTCAATTAATCAAGCATTACGCCATGAAGGCGTTTGTGGGAGTGGATATATAAATCCACATTTTCTTGACCTCGACACTAGCTGGAGCTCAGTGGCCAGTTTCAAGCCTAGGCCGCTTTACCCCGGGTAGGAGGTGGGGTAGACCCCAGAGCCGGTCTGGACCATGTGGAGAAGAGAAAATTCTTGACACTACCGGGACATGATCTCCGGACCCTCGGTCGTCCAGCCCGTAGCCAGTCGCTATACCGACTACGCTACTATATTCACAGTAAAAATACTCGTAGCGTTTTGGTGTTGACTCTTTCAACATTCAATAAAGAGAGGTTCTGAAAAAGGAAGGCGTTTACATGTTACTTAGATTTTCAGATGAAGCGTTACTTTGATATGCCATTATCCCATATATAATAATAATATAATAAAATAATGAAGGCTGTAACGGTGACGTAAGAGAAGTGAATCGTGCATATTATCAATGTTTTGCCGTGTTACAGACAAGTCCATCATAACACGCCTCGGATGCAGGTGAAGTGTAGGAGTCATCATCATCAGTAATCTGTCAGACGACAGGTCCACAGTCTCTTCCAAAACANTTCTCCAACACCACATTTCGAAACTTTCCAGATGTTTCTGATCTACTGCCCTAAGTGTCCATGTTTCAGCCCCATACAGAGCTATGCTCCAAATGTAGCATTTCACTAGTTTCTTCCTCAAATTTAAGTCCAATTTGCTGGTAAAAAGATTCTTCTTCTTGCTAAATGCAGCTTTTGCCATGGCAATCCTGGATTTAATTTCACTAGTACACGCGTAGGAGTATCTTCGGGAAATTCACTGAGTGTTGTCACATGACTTGGCATGAGATGTATGTCTGCTACTTTGTTACGCACACACGTGTACTAGCTATCACACGTGTGAAAATATTTTAAATGGCCGGCCGATTGTAATTCTGAATTTCGAGTTCTGGGGTAACGAACGAACGGAGGGCCCACTAATATCACCGTTAACTGTAAATATACAATATTAAACAAAATACTGCGGGTAGGCGAAAGGGGGTTGGCTTCCAGCTTGGATTTGGGTGGGGACTAACAGCTTCTCACCATAACATAGTAGCATGTTACATAACGTCACACAAATGAGTTTGGTGGGAAATTTATCGGGTATGGGTGACAGAAGAAATATTGTACGTAAAATTTGTAGAAAGGAATAAACCACTCGAGAAAACAAGGCGTAAGCCTAGGTCGAAAAAAGAATATTGAAATTTATCGTGAAGAAATATACAACATATTCATGTAGTTAAGGATACAGTCAAATGTCAGACTCCTGTAGACACTGTATCGAATATTCACATTCCACAAAATAAGATAATTTAGTACAGTTCATCAGTTAACACTGTTTAACGTAAGTCACTCATGCAATTCCCTTGATATTCTACCCTATTGTTATTTTCACCTTCGACAACATTTTGGACTACTGCAGTCTTCAGTAGAATTCCCAACGTCAGGAACTACTGGATCTACAACTGTGTATGCATAATTACCTTACACTTCGTGTGTACAGAATGTAAGGTTATGTATATACGTATACGCGTATGTACGTACATACAGTATATACCAGTGTAACACCCGCTGTGAATCCTTCGGATAATCTCATCATTTGGTGTATACACTTTCATGCTCTTAATTTTCTCTGATTTCTCCCATATTCTTTCCAGTCCTGCACGTTATCAAATGGTGTGCCGCAGCGGAAGTGTGACATCATCTCCAACGAATAAAATGTTCCTTTGTGTAGTACACTACACAAAATTGTCAATGCCCTTAGAATAGACATAATACACTGAAGATATATACTTCGTGTTCGGAATTTACTAGCTGACTTGCGTTCCTGCAGCGCGAACCTTTCGATACTTCGTTATTATCTTAACGGAAACTTTCTAAATTTTCACACCTTTCATTTCGTCATAACAGTGTATATACATACGTAAGTAGCTTTATTTAATACGAAAGATAAACTTGACAAGGGAATGTAACACCTCGATGGTGTTTAGAGTGCCATCAAAAGGGACGGTATAATTTTATACGTCTGAACGACGGGGGCACGCGGTAGCGTAGTTGGTTGAGACACTATGCTTCAAGTCGGAAGGTCGCGGGTTCGAGTCAGATGAAGTCATTGGATTTTTTTTTCAATTGACCTAATCCTTCCGGCCGCACTTTGGCCCTGGGGCTGACTCAGCCTCTAACAGAAATGAGTATCAGGAATTAATTAAATACTTTTCCTGGGGAGTAAAGCGCGGTCGGCGCGTAAGGCCGACAACCTTACTGCCATCTTTGAGCCGATTGTATAGATAATGTGGGACCCTCAACGTCTCACAACCCTATGGGCCTTCACGGCATGTTACAGGGATAGCTTTACTTATTTTTACATCTGAACGACAATTTTGTGCCATTTTATTGCACAATTTTATATTGTGACATGTAGACCCACTTTTAGACAACGCTCGAAATACGCTCTCGCAACAATAGAACCAGACGTGTTTTCTATGTGGTTCTCATATATCAATTGCAAGGTAACGGACCATTAGACACTTATTCTTGACAACAGAAAATAGTGTTTTCCGTGGGGTCCGTGCCGAGGAGTTATCTTGAAGACAATCGACACTACAGGAGTCAGTTGAGGTGTGAGTTTAGGTGTGGAGAGTTAAGCAGCGGACAACAGAAGATTCTCCATTGCTAAGATTTGTTTCCAGGACACGTCTAGTGAAGACATTGCAGAGGAACAGCCATGGTTGAGAGCTATTACCAAGTAAAGTCTGGTGAGAGTAGACTGAGGAGACTTAGTGTTGAGTGATCTGTAGTGTGGAAATCACCAATAGTGTTATAGTTATTTGTAGTTACGGCCTGTAAGTGGTCAGTAAATCTATTCACCGATCCAAACCCCGTCTATAGTCATAAATACATGTGACAATATATTACGATATTAGGTATGCTGTGTGTGTATAAACATGCATAATATAAAATTATGGACTAAAGTAAGAAAAGACAGAGGGTAAAATGGAAACATTTTCACCACGAAAAAAATCTGTTGATGTGTAGCAAGACTCCAACGTCATTTTGGAACAAGCGAGGTTTGAAATACTAAAATTTATCGAAAATATTTTAAATGCAGATTTATTTCAAAATTTTATAATAACCCAAAAAATATATGCCCCTACAACTGAACTTGTGTCCCGCTGCCCGAGAACTATAACCAGGTGATAGTTACGAAGTCGTAGGATCGATCACTCTGCTAGCGAAGAGGGGCAGTTTATTGAAACTGTCCACGATGAATGCGAGGAACGGGCGATCCACATTGAACACTACTGGAACAGGTTTCACACCCACAGCAGTAATAAGGACACCAATTACAGCTGTAAGATAAGCATTTATATTACCTCATGTGTTTCTGTACAATGAAAAGTATCAAATGCTGTAGAAAGGAGTCATGTTATGAGTCAAAATAAACCAAAATATTGTAATGTATTCCGGGTTAACGTGACTAATAATAATGGATCATGGATTAGATAAATAGATTTATTGGACACTCAGAAGTCGTAACTACAAATAATTATAATATTCTAAGGATTAGTGTTAACTACGGCACTACAAACATGCTCGTTATATAGACTCGGCACGGACCCCACAGAAACAGCTTTCATTCTTGTCGCGTATTGTCATAGCCGCTCGTTTACAGCTCCGTTGCCTAGCACTGGGTGTCCGTTATTGTCGCGTATTATTGTACGCGTTACGCAGCAATGGGTTGTTTACCAAGAATCTGTCTTCGCGGGAACGTGAACATCGAGCCGTTGCCTAGCAGTGGATCGATACGTCACAATATGAAAATGGATTCGTTCTATCTGTATTCTTTGTGGTAAAGCGATTTTAGATATTCTCAGTAGCTTTTCAAATTGTGCTACAAATGGAACATATTGTGTAAGAAAGAAGACTGCATTAAAATGACGGATTTATATTTAAATAAAATAACTACATCGCGAATAAACTTATTGGTCTATCGTATAGGCCTACGTACACATGATCTAGAATTGGCACATATATAAAATTTATATTTCTTCAATATGAATAAATTAATGTTGAATTATATTTAACAGAACTGGTTGCCACGTTTTGAGGTTTGATCGTTGAAAGTGAAATTTCATGGCTCCGTTATATACTATATATATATATATACTCTCGTGTATGCGCGCGCGCACTCTCTCTTTCTCTCTCTCTCCAATGTTGCATCACATTCTTCGAGAAGAAAGTGAACAATTTTTGGTGGCACACATAAATCATATAAGTTCAACCAGAATTTAATAGAGTAGGATAGGATTCATAGAACTCTTTTCACCATGAAGAGCAAATACAGATATACACCAAAGCTCAACATTACTTAAGTGCTATTGAATTGTCTGTTAAATATTTCAGATAACATTTTATTTCACAATTTCTTCTTTAATGAAAGACTTTTTTTTTTGACTGAAATTTGTTTTTCCCATTACGAAGCCGTGGGGTCGGTGACTCTGCAAGCGAATAGCGGCAGCTTGTTGAGATCGTCCACGATGAATGCTATGAAGGGATGGTCCACTCTGAACACAAGTGGAGGAGGAGGCAGTATTGCACTAAGAGTTTTAATTATGATGGCTGTAGGGCAAAGAAATCCAATTAATGAAAAGTATTATACCAGACTTAACACGTAGTTACTATAGGATTCTGACGATGGTATATAACACATAGAGATATTGGGTTTTCGGACTTTTTTGACCCAGTGATTGAGGCTAGCTCTTTCTAAGGGACCCAACAGAATAGGTGTTTTCCCTCACCTGAGGACGGAAACAGATCCAGTTTCCGAAACGTCGTGTTTTTCTTAGTTATCTTAAAACCAGGACGATGGATAAATTCCGAAAACCCAATATCTCTACAGACTTAACATGTTAATATTTTATCATTTGCTACTGGTTGTTTCTGGCCCGCTATATGATGATAAGCATTTATAATATACAAATTACGAATATTTATTTCATGTGAAATTTACAAATTTAACTTCATTCATTCTGGTCCGTCACACTAGTTTGACAACACCGTCCAGTGTGACTCAGTATATATTTATATAGTGTCTTTATATGTTTCGGTCAGTTGTGACCATCTTCAGAAAGCAATAACAACATATGAGGGAACTACTATTACATATAACATAGTGCGTACATAGTGTGTCCAGGTTCTGTTAGGACTGTGTTCATTAAAAATACAAGTCATGAATTATTTACAAAATTTCACTCTTATTATTCAAAATAGGGGGTACGCGGTAGCATAGTGGTTAAGGTACTATGCTACTAGCCGGAAGGTCGCGGGTTCAAGTCCCAATTAGGTCATTGGATTTTTTTCAATTGACCTAATCCTTCCGGCCGCACTAAGCCCTGGAGTTTACTCAGCTTCTAACAGAAATGAGTACCAGGAATTAATTAAATAATTTTCCTGTGGAGTAAAGAGCTGCTAGCGCGTCAGGCTGACAACCTTACCGCCATCTTTGAGCCGATTGTCAAGGTAATGTGGGACCCTTAACGTCTCACAACCCTATGGGCCTTCACTTTTTTTATTCAAAATAGTCTCCTTCTCAAACAATACATAGCTGGAATCGATTGAAAAGTTTTTGAAAACATTTACATTTCCTTTGGATGTCCTGGATGTGTCGTGACCGTCACCTTTCATCGCCAACTTAACTTTTGGGAACAACAAGAAATCTGCTCGAGCCAAATCTGGNCACCATGTCTCGTCACCAGTAACAATCGATTTTGTAAATTTTGTATCACTTTGGGCCGACCGTAACATGTCTTTGCAGTGTTCCACTCTGGCATGTTTTTCATCGCCTGACAGCGCGTGCGGTACAAACCGTGCACAGACCTTCCGTTTGCCCAAATCCTCGGTCAAAATTTGATCCACAGTACTCACATTAACCACAGGGCCCACAATAGACGAACTTCCTCTAATGAAAATGTCTGTGTATTATTAGTGGTGTGACAAACTGCATATAATACACACATATGACTATGCCAGGACACTCTAGGAGTGCACCGAAAATTTGTTTTGTACTGCTATTGAGCAGCAAAATTAGTACCCACTGAAATGACAAAGCCCTCTCACTGTCAAGGAGTACGACCCTCTGCCCCCCCACGCCTCCGTAAGTATCGAAGACACGTCTATGACATTGATGACAGTGATGGTGCGTGATGACTGATGATAATGAGTCCTGATCAGGCTCAAATCAAGACTGAATCTACCTATGCTGCTCTACACACCGATCCTGAAGATGTAAGTAGCCTGTACCTTCTAAACGTCGTCAGCACTGCCCACATGCACACGGCATAAACACCCGAGAGCTGATTTAACAGAAGAAGTTAAGGACTATCTATCTATGATTCTACAGCTCTTTGTTGGGCCTTCACCGCTTTTTTTTAGTTTATTGTACTTTCCACAGTCGTCAGGACTCTTTGGATGGGGGATCAGCACAGGGCAGCACAAACGCAGAATAAACGTACATAGACATCCATGCTGCAAGTGGGATTCGAACCCACGATCTCAGTGTTCTAGCTGACGAAGACAGTTCATGCCTTAGGCCGCGCGGCCACTGGGATCGGCAGAAGTTAAGGACTGCGAAACCTAAAATCAGTAAGGTATACATCTACCAGGCACTCCCTTACAGTTCCTTGTCCCTGCTAGGAGCGTATTGAGGGATCTAGCTGTTACAGTTGGCAGTACCTGTTGCTGCAGCGGCTGTTGCTCCGTCCTCATCTACTTCAATCTCTGCCTTCTGGATCACTTGTGACACAGCTACAGGCTCCTCCGAGATCCCAGTCAGATTTGCTCGGTCAGTGAATATGTCAGTCAGACCAATCTGAGAAACAGAAGCACGTCAATCTGTAATGCAAACCTCGCCTTTGCTTCGAACTATTTATTGTGTTACTTTCGGTCACTAATGCAAGACCCGGCGTTAATACCCCTTAACTCCGTGGCCTGTAGTCCGCAAGCTAACTATACCGACCGAGCGACCGCCGGTTGTCGACGAAGTCAGTGCCAACTTTTGCGGATCGAGGGTGTCACGTGGTCAGCGCAACGGATCCCCACGGCCGTTAATCTCGGTTTTCTAGACCCGTGCCGCTATTTCCTTGAAATAGCTCCTTAATTATCCTCACGAGGCTGAGTGGACCCCGTTCCAGATCCATTACTTCTCAGAAAATCTGGTAGCACGGAGAATCGAACCCGGGACCTCTGGATCTGTAGCCAGGAACTCTGACCACTAGACCACAGAGGCGGTCGTTAATACACCTTACCATTCCCAAAACAACTCCGCCCTAATTCCTGTCCGCTAGTGACCACGCAGCTGCTTCGGCTGCCCGGGTCCTGAGTGCATTGCAGTGCTGGTATCTCCGCTCCTGCTAAACGCCTTCGTATTATGATCGGCAGTCATACAGCAATACCAACTTTACGTTCTGCAAAGTAATTCTTTGACGTTGCATTAAGTAACTAACCACACAAGTTCTTCTTGAGAATTCAGCATTTTCATTATCGAAAGTATTTATATTTCGATCTGTAATAAGTGGCAAGAGGAAACGTACTATTACGAACAGATACAAGCAAATGAGTATAACATGTAAACATTTTGGATTATTAATTTTAAAATGCAGAACTTAAATTCAATTAAGATCTAAAAGTTTGTGCCGATGATATATTGATACAGTTATTGACTTTATGGACATTATTCATGTAGTTCGCTTGTGAACTAAATCCACGGAGTAGTAGTATGGACATTATTCATCCTCCTACTTTTATTTTTAAAAACTGGAGGCTGGACTCTCTCTCTGTTCTAGTCCCCAACTCCTGAGAGAGGGACTAGCTCTATCGATTGGGCCCAACTGAATAGGTCTTTACATGAGGACGGAGACAAAATCCAGTCTCCGAAACGTTGTTTCTAAATAAAAACAGGGCGATGGATAATGTCCAGAAAGTCAATAATTATATTAAGTTAAGGTGTCTAAAACAATTGAAAGAAAAAAACACCAATATTACACGATTATCGGTGACAGCCCCGAAAGCTTCACATTTTGTTTCACCAAATACTTTGTACCTTTTTCAATGCGGGGCCGAGCTCCAACGTTGTTTGCAGCTTGAACTTCGGCAAAGACAGCTGAACTTCCGGTGAATAACCGCGATCCTCTAAGTTCTCAATGAGGTCAGAGATCTCAGGTCCAGTGATGCTGTTCACCAAGTTCTCTACGCCGTCCTTCTCGTTCGGCAGAATTATCAGCAGATAAAATCGATTACCCTTAGGAGAACATAATTATTCAGTCGGTTTCATGTATGGAAACGTCTCACATAACGGAAAATCAATTGCTGAAAATCAAGTTATGGGTCATCTTTTATAACAGTGAGCCCATAATGTTATCAGGCTGCTGTCTCTTGTTTCATAAATATCTGTACTTGGAACAAAAATTGTATGATAACAGTCTCCTAACTTAATACAGAAATTTAGACGTAAGTTCGTGTGTAGGAAATGGTAAACTCTGGTAATACTTCGCAACCAGGCCACGATAAAAATGTAAAAGAAACGGAAACAGAGACTTGCGAACATACAGAGAAGCCACAGTGTCTGCTTATGGAGCGATGTTTTATTTCAGCTAATCCGGTAACGGTTTATATAATACGAGTGAAAAATCTTTTCTAGCTCAATTACTAAGATTCTGCACCAGAAAATTATAACTACACTATTTACTTGAAACTAAAGAACAATAGACCACTGTAGGTCGCGGTGCAAGGCCCGAGAAGGCCCACCCCTTATACATTCATTCATTTATACTTGAAACTATCTGTTTTATGAAAATATATTCTCATACAATAAAAATGTGTTAGAAAAATAGTTTATAAACTTCTATGTTTATTTACTTCCTCTTTACATAAGCGTATTGATATAATTATTAAAATGGCAACTTTTGGGACGAACTGACATTTGTTTCTACGGATTCTTGTACTGACATGCTGAAGATGGCCCCTACTTAATTTTCACTCATGAATAGAGAATATAAAGCCTTAGAAAGAATAAGTACAGTTTTGGCTATAGACAAGTGTGTAGCGCCATTAATTTTCTTATTAAAGCCTTATGATGTGGTGGAAATAATTCGACAGTATTATTTTCTGGTATTGTCACTTCCATTTTGGTACGGAAGCTCAATAATCCAAAACCTTACACAATTCTTCTTCTAAGATGGAACTCACCTGAAACGGAAGTTGCAACCATCGTGAATTCAAACTTTCAAGAGAGCCTGTTAGCAATTTTTTCTTAAGATGCATAGTTGGAACTTTCTTTGATGTATTGGGTCTAATGAAGAAATCGTCATCTCTCGTCTCATTCTTCAGAAAAGATGTCTTCCAGAAATTCTTGAAGTAAATGGCATTAACCAGTACTAAACGTGTAAGGCTGTCTAGTGAATCTGAAATGATATTTCCACATAGTCAATAAAGTATGCACTCATTCATAGATATGCATTTTGCTGAGTACTGCGATGTTTCGTTACCTGGAGAAACAAGATTTGGGATTTTGCCGTGTGTGTGATTTGAAACCCAAGAGTTTATCTCTCCAGCGGCTGCCGCAGAATTTGAAAACTGCACAGTCTCAACTGAGGACAGGAAGTCTTCTTCCAGGACCTTCCGGAACCCGGATTTTACTTGGTATCCTTCATTCAGAAATGCACCGTTGGCAAATTCGAGAGACTCATTTCCAGCAAGTACCTGTTGGACAGTAATTTCATTCTGTATATAACCGTAACTTCTTATTTGCAATGGATATACCCGTGTGGAGGCGGGGTCGAATAACTTCACCGTGACCCTGCGAGTCGTAGGGTCACGGTCTCAAATCTGAGACAGGAAACTATGGTCAAGAGTCCCAAGGGACTCGGACCCGAGAAAGACCAGCATGGACCAGCAGCACATACAAGAGACAAACACGTCCTCTTGTCACAGATGGCGCCCCATAAAAATAAGACCGTAACTGTCAAGAAGTAATAAATATGTGGTCATGAGCCCCAGATGGGGTTCGACACCAAGAATTACTGAGTGACTGACCGTCAGTAGCAATGTGACTTGACTTGACTTACAATGGATACTTCTCTGAAATGATTAGGATATCGGAATTAATAAATAAGATAATGAACTCGTAGATGTATATACCCTTGTTACGTGTTATGTGAGCGAATACTTCTTTAGTCTTTTAACAGTTATTACACTCCAACTTACATTTTTAACAAAGCGGCCTCCGTAGTCTAGAGGTAACGTTCCCACCTCATGACTCGTAGTACGCGGGTTCAAATACCCGGCGGAGGTCGTCGAATTTTTAAGGGCGGAAACATTCAGGGAACAAGTCCTCCGGGAGGGACTTTAAGCCGTGGGTCCCGTGTCGTAGCTTTACGGCACGTAAAAGAACCTCATATCCCAAAAGGAGGTCAATGAGCCAAATTACGGACGTTTTCCGCCCAGCAGCAGTCTCTAATACCTCTGGTAGATGGGGGAAGCATTATAGATACCTCTCAGCTAGTAGAGCCGGTCTCGCTGGCTGGGCGGGACTGATGGTAAGCACCAGTACCGGTAGGATATAGAGACTGGTAGAAATCATAGAGGGAAGCACAATGGACCAATACAGGTCTAAGTGCATGGGGAAACCCACCCTCCCCAATAACTAACTAACTACATTTTTAACATTACTAACATTGATTATGGCATGGAGACCCGATGAAGGTGAAAGATGTCACAAATTGAGATGTGGACTGCGGTGAACTGTGACACGGCGTGTGAGTTAGACTCTGAGAATTTGCACGAAGCTCGAGAAGTACAACACAGGAATTTTTCAAAGAAAATTCTTTGTAATGTATTGTTGGAAATCCGGCCGAGAGTATCATATTTACGATGCTGAGGAACGACTGTAATGTATACCGTATCAAGTGAGATCTTTAGCAGTATATCATCTTATGAACACCACTTCCTTTTAAGAAATAAACGCAAGAACTGTAACTGTGGTCATCTTCATGCCAACCACTTGCCTAAGTCAACCTCTTTTCTGAGGTACGGCCATGAACTTGTACAGTTCTGGTTGTTTTTTTTAATGCTAGTGGGGTGGGACTAAGTCCCTTGTACTGCGGCCACTTCTGGCCTATTGTACCAGCCCCAGATGATAGGTGAGGGTGATTGTGGAGCAATTGGTGGAATGAAGATTGGC